GACATCCTTTAAAGAACCAGAAGATTCTTTTATCTAATGATTATCCATGTGTAACTTGTTCGCAAGGCAAATTAGTCATTAGACCTTCAACTACAAAGGTCAATATTAAATCTCCAACTTTCTTGAAAAGAATACATGGAGATATATGTGGGCTAATAAACCCACCATGTGGACCATTTCGTTACTTTATGGTATTAATTGATTCTTCTACAAGATGGTTACATGTTTGCCTACTTTCAACTAGGAATGTAGCATTTGCTAGACTACTTGCTCAAATCATAAAATTGCGGGCACAATTCCCCGATTACTCAATCAAGACTATTCGTCTTGACAGTGCTGTTGAATTTAGATCACAAGCATTTGATGATTATTGTATGTCAATTGGGATTGAAATTGAACATTCAGTTGCACATGTTCATACACAAAATGGTTTAGCGGAATCGTTTATTAAACGTCTACAACTTATTGCTAGACCATTACTTATGAAAACAAAACTCCCAACTTTTGTTTGGGGTCATGTCATATTATATGCTGCATCATCGGTTCGTATAAGACCAACTGCCTATCATCAATATTCACCTTTGCAACTTGCATTTGGTCATGAACCTGATATTTCTGACCTACGGGTTTTTGGTTGTGTTGTCCAAGTTCCTATTTCACCCCCACAACGTACTAAAATGGGTTCTTAACAAAAACTTGGGATTTATGTGGGTTTTGATTCATCATCTATTATTAGATATCTTGAACCTTTAATGGATGACTTATTTACTGCACGTTTTGCAGATTGTCATTTTGATGAAATGACTTTTCCAATTTTGGGAGAAGAAAAACTACATCCTGAAAAATAAGATAGAATTTCTTAGAATGAGACAACTCTATCTCACTTTAATCCCCGCAGCAATCAATGTGAACAAGAGGTTGAAAAAATTATTCATTTGCAAAGAGTTGCAATTCAACTACCTGATATATTTGTTGACATGAGAAAAATGGCAAAGTCATATATTCCAGCAGAAAATATTCCAGCAAAAATTAATGTCCTTACAGGACAATCTGCTGTGACAAATGAATCTCAAATACGTCAGAAGCGTGGTCGACCAGTTGGTTCAAAAGACTCTGTACCTCAAAAAAGAAGAGTACAGGAGAAAAACCAACCAAAAACTTCAGAAGAAATCATATTAGAAAAGATTGATCAATCAAATATTGAATGTACGGTTCCTGAAGAACCAGAGGTGTCCGAAAATAATGAGATCTTAATAAATTATATGATATCTCATAAATTATGGGAACGGAATAATATTGTTATAGACAATATTTTCGCCTTTAACATGGCTCTTGATATTATTCAAAATGAGGTTCCTGAACCACAGTCTGTTAATGATTGTCGAAATAGAAATGATTGGCCAAAATGGAAAGAAGCCATACAGGCAGAATTGAATTCTTTGGAGAAACGAAAAGTGTTTGGACTAGTAGTTCGAACACCTGAAAATGTAATCTTTTGTACGAAAGAGAAATGAGAATAATGAAATTACAAGATACAAAGCCCGACTAGTGGCTCAAGGTTTCTCCCAAAGACCGGGAATTGATTATGAGGAAACATATTCTCCCGTAATGGATACCATCACTTTTAGGTCCTTAATTAGTTTGACCGTGTCACAAGGGCTCGATATGCGCCTTATGGATGTAGTAACTGCCTACCTATATGGTTCACTTGACAGTGACATATATATGAAAGTTTCTGAAGGATTTAAGGTACCAGGAATAAATGATACATGTTCCAAAACTATGTTCTCAATTAAATTGCAAAAATCATTATATGGATTAAAACAATCCGGACGCATGTGGTATAATCGCCTTAGGGAATACTTGTTGAAAGAGGGTTATAAAAATGACGATATCTGCCCATGTGTTTTCATAAAGAAAACAAATATTGGATTTGCAATTGTGGCAGTTTATGTTGATGATTTAAATTTAATTGGAACTCCTGAAGAGCTCAACAAAACTGCAGATTATTTGATAAATGAATTTGAGATGAAAGATTTGGGGAAAATTTAATTTTGTCTTGGATTACAAATTGAACATTTTCCAGGGGGATTATTTGTTCATCAATCTACTTATACAGAAAAAGTCTTGAAACGCTTTTATATAGATAATGCACATCCATTGCCATCACCTATGGTTGTTCGATCACTTGATGTGAAAAAAGATCTATTTCGTCCACTTGAAGATGGAGAAAAGATTCTTGGTCCTGAAGTACCATACCTTAATGCAATTAGAGTATTAACTTATCTTGCAAATTGCACTCGACCTGACATAGCTTTTTCTGTAAGTCTCCTTGCAAGATATAGCTCTACACCAACTCAAAGGCATTGGAATGGTGTTAAACATATTTTTCGTTACCTAAAAGGTACTATTGATATGTGACTGTTTTATTCTCAAAAGTCAGGATATGTTTTAGTGGGATATGCAGATGCAGGTTATCTCTTCGATCCACATAAAGCTAAATCACAAACATGATATGTGTTTACACGTGGAAGAACATCTATATCATGGAGATCTGTGAAGCAATCCTTAACGGCAACATCCTCAAATCATTCTGAGATTATTGCAATCCATGAAGCAGGGCGCGAATGTGTATGGTTGAGGAATATGACCCATCATATCCAATCATCATGTGGATTGATTTCAACAAAAGATAGTCCAACAATTTTGTTTGAACATAATGCAACTTGTATCGCACAACTCAAGGGAGGCTATATCAAAGGCGATAAGATGAAGTATATTTCTCCAAAATTCTTTCATACACATGAATTTCAGAAGAATTGTGACATTGATATTCAACAAATTCGCTCAAGTGACAATGTGGCTGATCTATTCACAAAAGCGCTGCCAACATCTACATTCAAGAAATTAGTTCATGAGATTGGAATGCATCGACTCAAAGATTTTCAGTGATCAACATTAGGGGGAGTAGCTGTACTCTTTTTCCTTCGCTTAGGTTTTGTCCCATTGGGTCTTCCTAACAAGATTTTAATGAGGCAGCATTTAATTTTAATACTCCAAAATAACTGTACACTTTTTCCTTCGTTTGATTTTTTTCCCATTGGATTTTTGTCAAACAAGGTTTTAACGATACAGATATTTTGCAATATGTCATTCAAGGGGAGTGTTGTAAATGGAAAGTCCATTAAAGTTTATTGGTGAATGACATTTGTACCCCTAGAAATTATTACCATTGTATCCCTGATTCTTACCTATAAATATAGGGATTTGGTTTTCAATAATACGCACAAAAAGTTTATTGAGTTTTCTCTATTCTCTTTTCCTCTCATTTTATAACACTAGATAATATGTATAAGAAATTTTTTTTTTTTTTTTTTTACGATACACATGTTGTTCCCAAAAGAATTAGGCAAATACATGGAAATAGCTTTTAGAAAAGGGCCACTTTTCCAAAATGATCTTTGGTCAATTTACATACCAAAAATGCCCTCCATTTGGATATTGCATAATAAGGCACTAAAATAGAAATTCTATATTTTAGTCTTTAAATTTAAATATTGGTTGAGATTTGATAGTTTTTATTTGATTTTTGTTCGCTCTAAGTAGCCATCCTTATTGGTAACAGAGTCATAGAGTTCATGAGAAAACCTATAAAAAATAGATTACTTGAAGAAGTAAAAATCTTTAGATTTATGTTAACACTTAGATTTTATATAAGTTTAATAAATAACAGATTAACTATTATAGAATTAAAGGAATATTTAGATTATATATCTTTAAAATAATAATTGATTATAATACACAAATATTTATATCTTGATAAAAGCATAGAGATTGTGGAAATTAAAATAAGAAAAATAGATAATTATTGACGTTTAAAATAAGAGAGAGGTATTATATATTTTTAAAACATATTCATAATAGATTAAAAATAATGACACTAATAATAATTAAAGAGTTGCCTAGAGAAATAAAGAAACAAATATTAGAAAAAATAAATGATATATATACATATGAAAAAATTATTAATATATATGAAGATGAAGAAAATAATTTATATTACAAAGAAAAGTATGAGAGCAAGTGATAATACACATTTAAAATTGAATAAATTACTTATAAAAATGGAAAAAATACAAGAGAAAATACGAAATATAATGTTAATACCAGAGGGAATGAGAACATCAAATAATAGACAATTAATAAAATTAAAATGTGAAAGATTAAGACTTGAGAGTAGATATTTTCCCTACTATATAAAAAAAAGAAAATGTGAGGGCACTTTAGAAAGCAACAGTGTCTTGATCCATCTTTGCTGCAGCATTTTTTTCTTCAATTTGGGGGGCGAAAAACGACGTCGTTTGCTTGATATATATTTTATTTTATTGTACACTACCTGCAAATTTACTGCAACACGCAATTTTCATTCCTCCTCACTCCAATATAGATATATATAGTAGGGATATAAGAAAAATATCACTTTTATATTAAAAAAAAATATAGAGATAATATGCAACAGAAATTTTTTTTACAACATATTACTTGTAAGTAGAAATTTGAAGAGAAAAGAATTAAAGAGAATTATAAATTGAAAAAAAAATTATAACTAAAACTACACAGCAAAAAAAAAAAAAGGTAATCTCTCCGTGCACGGAGGGGAAAGAAAAAAAAATTGTTGGAGACTCCGTGCACGGAGGCAAGTGTCTCCATGCACGGAGACACTATCTCTGTGCATGGAGACAAAATTTATATATATATATATATATATTAAGTAATTCTCCTTTTTATCAATTTATTTAAATTTCTTTTTTATTCTTTTCTCTTTTAAATAAAACTTAATTTTTCAATTTTAACAAAATAATATTTATATATATTTTTTTAAATTTTTGTAATTTTTTTATTTTGTTTATTTTGTATTTTTTTAAAATTATATTTAGAATTGGGCTATGAAATAATAGAATAGAAATACATGAAAATAATTAGAAGAAGGTAAAGAGGTCTCATAGACGTGTCAAACTTTCACCAACATGGTCTTTTTTGTAGACGATGAACGTTGGGGGTTCACTGTTCAAAAGTTCAAAAACACATGTATCGCCCATTTGTAGTACTTTTTCTCTAAAAAAATCTGCCCAACCTATAGTTATACGTCTTATTAGACCATTTAGTCTCAAATTTGTGGCAAGCTCCCAGTCGTGATGTAAAGAATCATGGATTTGAATACTTCGCACACCTCTTGGTAGGTGATATCTAGAGAACTGTCTTGGTATATCCTAAAAAACCATGAATGAATAAATTATTGATCTTTGAATCAAATTTATGTGGAAGAGATGAATGTAGAATGAGATATTAAAGATGACACTTACAATTTCCCGATGGCTGTTGTGATGAGGTGTTAGTGTTATTTCAAATGCAAGGTTATCTGTATGTGAAGCGTTGTATTCTTCCGGAACATCGGAGTCATATGTGACCTCTAATCCAAAATGGTCAAATATGGTCATATTGAATGTGGAGTTTTCATTATATTCAAATACCAAAACATGAGCATCCTGTAAGTTATGATGGTCAAAAAATTGTTCCCATCCATCGGCAAAATATATTCTTCCATTATCTTTTTCCAATCGTATTGTGACAATTATACCATCATATGCAGTTACTTGTACTGTGTCACCAAATTGGTGTCTCCAATCGTTGACAAAGGATCTCGGAAGCATCTATACATATACATTAAAAAGTATAAGAGAGATATTAAGAATGCATCCATTCAAATGTGAGAGGAGAAACTCTTGTATGACTAACCAGACGGGTATTATGGTTTTGTGGAGGAGTAATGATTCTGAAGAAATGATGTGGCACCTCCATTCTGTCTCAATATAGTACAATGAAAATTTTGTTAGAATAACTCTATTATTTACGTTGTGGAGGCCTAATATAAATTTCAAGGTAGATTTTGCAATATAGGCGATTTAGAAAGTTTGTTAATGGAAGTTCCATGTCCGTAAGATAAACTTTGTATGTGATGTAAAAAAAAATATATTCTATATGTCGTTGTAGAACAATATCGTGAAGTTTGGTGAGAAATTCATGATTTGTGTTTGATTTTTAATAGAAGAATTAAAGATTGACATTTAGTCCATCTCGATAAATAAGATGTAAGTTAAAACTGTAAAATTTAATGTTGAAAAAATAGCTATTGTAATCAGGAAAGAGTAGATAGACACCTGATTTTCTTTTTGTTGAACACCTACAAGCAAAGATATGTAAATATTTTATGTGAGGAGTGATAGTAAATTTTGAAAATATGAGAAGCTATTTAAATTAGAGGATATGTACTTCCTATGTTTTTTCCTTTTCTCCAAATTTGACAAGAGGTTCACGAGTTGTAAAAATGGACAATATGTTACCAAAAAAACCTGATCTTACTCTTTCCAAAAATAAAAGTGAGGAGAAAGAAATTATTGAAGTATCACACGTTTCACACATTATTTGATTGCAATCAAAAGGTTACGATTGAAACAACAAAATAATATTTATATATGTATTTTTAAATTTTTGTAATTTTTTTATTTTGTTTATTTTTTTCAAGTGGGAAGCAAAAACTACGCCGTGCATGGAGTACATCGATTTTTTTGGTAGTTTTTTTTTGGGCCTCCGTGCACAAACTCTTCGTTTTTTTTTTGTTTTTATATATATACACTATATAAACTAACTACAATGATATATATAATTTTTTTTTTTACTTTTCTATATCTATAATAATGAAAAAAATCATCCATGCATTCTATGGACGGAGGCCAGATCTTCTCCTCCAATTTTTTTTTTAGATTTTCCCTATTATATTTGTTTAAATAAATAATAATTCGAAATATCATGTCTATATATGCAATACTATGGATAGTCTATATATTTGTCTGACCTTGCATATCTATATCTACAATAATGTAAAAAAATATTAATAATAATAATAAAAAATATCCATGCTGTAAAATTAAAAATATTGATTAATAATATAAGATAGAATTCTACGAGGTGAAAAGTTATTTGTGAGTAAAAAAATTAAAGAGAAAGAAATTAAAAAAAATTAAGTTTAAAAGAAAAATTATTTATGATACAAAGAAAAAGAATTTAAAAAGAATTTTAGGCCTGACGCTTATTTTTTTCCTTTACGTTGTAAGATATATTTTTTTAATTTACAATTCTTTAAAATTGTTTTATCTTACCTCTAAATTTACTTTATTCTAACACGCAACAATTAAATTTCATTATAAAGACAAAAAAATTAAAAAGAATTTTCAATTGAATTTTTTTTTATCTATATCTAATGAAAAAAAATAAAATAAAATAAAATTGCAGGCCTCACCTGGGAGTCTCCGTGCACAGAGATTTGGGGTCTCCATGAATGAAAACATCATGTCTCCGTGCACGGAGTCTTTGGGCCCGTGCACGGAGTCATCTTATTAGTATTATTTTTTTTACTTCCTTTTCTTTTTAAAATAAAAGAAAAGCTAATACCTCTTTATACTATATAATACTAACTACAATGATATTTTTTACAACTTCAAGCAAACTTTTTACTATGTAAAGAAATATACTAAAAACTTTGAGTTAATATTTAATCTAAAGTAATATTTAGATAAATTTAATTTAAAGAATTCAATATTACTAAAAATATTACTGTAAAATTAAATATTGTCTGAAATTATTAGATATATCCAACTGCGATGATATAGTTTTTTTTCTTTTACTTTTCTATATCTATAATATGTAAAATAATAATTCGAAATATTATATCTATTTATGCGCGCTTGCATTTGTCCGACTTAGCATAATATAATAATATTTTTCTTCCTTCCTTATCGGTATGGTATATTTTATTATAATTTTTGTGTTTAAGTTTTGCAGTTAACTTGCATGCTGGCATAGCTTGCTTGTTTGCACAGCCATAATGGGTGGTTGGACGCCTACATTTCTCCAGCTTCAAGTTCTTGAATCTATATTTCATGAAAGTAACACAAGTCCAAACAAATCGGAGATTGCACAGATAGTCTCTCACTTGTCGTTATATGGCCAAATTTGTGATAAGAATGTTTGTAATCGGTTTAAAAATAAACGTGCTCGTTCAAGAAAGCCATCCACACAAACACAAAATTCTCAACTTAAGCCAATGGTAAAAGAAGACAAATTACGTAAAAGGGTTTTAGGTATGATTATTTGTTGAAATGTGATTTTTTGTTTATTTTTTTATTCTCTTTTGTACGTAATTTTAACATACATATTTGGTATTCTCTGAAAGTTACTACAAGTTATGCACCAGAAAGGCAAACTAAATGACATGACTTTGAAACACGTTTTTTAATTTTTTTTATGATATCTTTCATAAATCTTATTTTTATTTTTATGCTTTTAGGTTGTATTGATGATTGTATTGGATTATACAAGGATGAAAGTATTTGTCTTTAAAAAGATTCTGAAAATGAAAATCAAAATGAAGTATCAGAAATTCCTAATATTTTACTTGATTCTGAAAGGGTTGATTCCAAACGAATAAATCTAAGAGATATTCCTGCCAAACCTTATTTTCTTCCATCATCTACAATTTGTAAATATTGTGGTGTAAAAAAATCTCATAAAGAAACTAAGGGCTTTTGTTGTTGTGATGGAAAAGTTAGATTATAGTAAAATAGTGTTCCTCCTAAATTGTTTGAGCTATTTACTTCTACTCATGTGAGGCAATTGCTTTTAAAAAAGTTGCTCGTACTTATAATAATTATTTTGCTTTCACTTCTTTTGGTGTTAAGTATGATAAAAATTTGTGTAGAAATAATAAATGTATATATACATTTAGAGTTCAAGGACAAGTATACCATTTTATAAATCCATTGTTACCAATTGATGGGAAACCAGCATATTTACAATTATACTTCTATGATACTGATAACGAAATCACTAATAGACTAAAAAATTCTAACATGTTATGTGAAACGACTTTGAGAAAATTGATAGATGTCTTGAAGATGAATCCATATTGTCGTTTTTTCGATCGTTGAATGAAATTTCTGATCTTGGTTCATGTCATATTGTACCTAAGTGTGATCCAGGTCTTGACCAAAGACTGTATAATATGTCATCCAGTGAACAAGTGGCTGCTGTTTGGGTTGATGAAGACCCATCCGTCAGCGTTCAAAATCGCGATATATTAATTTATGGCCATTCTAACACTACACACAAAGTGAATTATTATTATGGCTGCTATGATCCACTTCAGTATCCATTGATATTTGCCTACGGAGAACCGGGATGGCACGAAGGTATCAAAAAAGTCAATTTGAATACTTCTTCACTCATCGATGAAAATTTTATACAAATTAATAACATTCATTCGGCTGAACAACTTTTGGAAATGGAAGAATGTGGTAAGTTTTATCATCCATCAAATTGTTTTATATGTAATAAAAGAGTATGTAATTATATTCTCCTTCTCAAATTTTTTCTTCCTATTTTTTTTCAGTTTTGACGAAATCGAAGAAGCGAATGAATGTATAAACTTTAGGGAAGGCTTTCAGATAATTTTATACTTCTTCATACAAGTAGACTTCTGCAACATTAAATAATAGATATGCATGTTAAAATTGAAACTGCAAGATTGGATTATTTTCGAAATAATCAAAAGATTATAAGAGCAGAGCTTTACCAAGGAATTATGGATAGTGTACAGAATTGTGAGAATAGAGGCTATAAGATTGGTAAATCAATAGTGTTACCCATAGGGTTTATTGGAGGTCCTGAAAATTTAATTAAAAGATATATGGATGCAATGTCTTTAGTTCAAAAATATGGAAAACCCAATGTATTTTTAACAATGACATGCAATCCAAATTGACCTGAAATTAAACAAGAATTGAGACATAGTGATGAAATACAAAATAGGCCAGACTTGTTAACACGAATATTTCGAGCTAAATTTGAGGAACTAAAAACAGATTTATTGAAGAGAGAAATTCTTGGGCCTGTAATTGCTTATGTTTATGTGGTTGAATTCCAAAAAAGAGGTCTCCCTCACGTTCATTTTCTTCTTATATTTAAACAAAATTTTCAGATTACTAATTCTATGCAAGTTGATGAAATTATTTCGTGTGAAATACCAGATAAAAAGTTAAATTCTTATCTACATACTACTGTGATCAAATATATGATGCATGGTCCTTGTAGATAATTAAATCCTACAAATGTTTGCATGAAAAATGATGGTACTTATGAAAATAAATATCCAAAAGAATATATTTTACATACTTCATTGAGTAATGATTCTTATCCGCTTTATAGACGTCGTAACGATGGTGTTATCGTTAAAGTCAGAGGATGCATACTAGACAATAGATGGGTCGTACCATACAATCCGTATATTTTAGCTAAATATGATTGTCATATTAATGTAGAAATATGTTCTTCTATTAAAATTGTGAAATATTTATATAAATATGTATACAAAGGATATCACCGTGTTAATTTTGCTATGAATAAAGAAACTAATGAATGTTATATAGATGAAATTTCAAATTATCAAACTGCTAGATGGATATCTGCGCCAGAAGCTGTTTGAAAAATTTTTAGTTTTGATTTATTTGACATTTCTCCTTCTGTAATTTATTTGTAATTACAAGTTGAAAATTCTCAATTAGTTACTTACAATGAAAGTGATGATTTATCAGAAGTTGTAAAGAAAGAATTTATCCAACGAACAATATTAACTGAATTTTTTCGAATGAATCTTTTTTATGAAAAGGCTCGGACTTTACTTTATAAATATTTTCCTATATACTTTGTATGGAATACATATTTACAAATTTGGAATACTAGAAAAA